GTGTGTGTGTGTGTGTGTGTGTGTGTGTGTGTGTGTGCAGGCTAACCTGGCCCTGCAGGAGGCTCGTCTTGTGGTCGCTCAGGCTGAACTCTCTAAAGCTCAGGAGCAGCTGGACTCTAAACAACGAGAGCTCGACGCCGTGCAGGTGAAACTAGTTTAAACTTGAACTTTTTCATCCTAAATACGTGAACATGTGTTTTCTTCTTGTGTTTATCGCTGTTCGATCCCATGGACACGTTCAGGTGATCATTTTCTTCCTCCGTGTTGGCGACACCCAGTGGTCAGGTTCACTAGTGTTTGTAGTGTGAAACTGCTCTGATTGGTGGAGACAAACGACTGATTGTACTTTTATCATGAACTGTAGTGAAATGTGAGTGTGCTGAACTTTAGGCGCTTTACGACGCCGCCATGAAGGAGAAGCAGGACCTGGAGGACGACGCCCAGGCCTGCCGCCAAAAGATGGCCAATGCCACGGCTCTGATCGACGGACTGGGAGGAGAGAAGGTCAGCTTTCATCCCGTCACCTTTCACTCATTCATCTGTCATACATCTATCCTCTCATCCATCCATGTCTGTCCTCGTCGTGTCTCAGGTCCGTTGGACGGACAGCAGTGTCGGGTTCCAGACGCAGATCAAACACTTGGTCGGCGACGTCCTTCTGTCCACCGGTTTCCTGTCATATGCCGGCCCGTTTAACCAGGAGTACCGCTGCCTCCTGCTGGAGCTGTGGAAGAAGGAGATGGAGGAGAAGCTCATTCCCTTCAGTCCTGTAACACGACACAAATCCTCTGTCTCATTATTTCAGCTTTTATTTGACAAGTCGTAAAACAGAAAAAAGTGTTGCACATCTGCTCAGATTGAATAAAACAATATATCTGTATTAAATTCAAATCTGACAGTAAACTCAGTGAATATTAAAGAATCTGTTCACAGTTAAACTCATGGTGACGTGAAGAATCTTTGTGAAAGTCTAAACTGAGACGTCCCTGCAGGACTTGAATGTGATTGGTCTGCTGGTGGACAACGCCACAGTGAGCGAGTGGATCCTGCAAGGGTTACCCAGCGACGACCTGTCCATCCAGAACGGCATCGTTGTGACGAAGGCTTCACGCTACCCGCTGCTGATTGACCCCCAGGGTCAGGGCAAGACCTGGATCCAGAACAGGGAGCGAGAGCAGCAGCTGCAGGTGAACACAAAACCATAAATCACAAAACCTCCTCTGCCCCCTGCTGGTGAGAAGTAAAAACCTCTTCTTTGTCTCAGGTGACGTCTCTCAACCATAAATATTTTCGAACCCACCTGGAGGACAGTCTGTCTCTGGGGCGCCCCCTGCTGCTTGAGGATGTTGGGGAGGAACTGGACCCAGTTCTGGACAACATACTGGACAAGAACTACATCAAGTCTGGATCCACTTACAAAGTGAGAATCAGACTAACAACGTTTAGTTTCATACTTTTAAAAAGAGTCTCAGCTGTTCAGGAGTCACAGGTGATGTCTGTCCTCCTTCACCCTGCAGGTGAAGGTGGGAGATAAGGAGGTGGACGTGATGAAGGGCTTCACGCTCTACATCACCACCAAGCTTGCCAACCCGGCGTACAGCCCCGAGGTCAGCGCCAGGACGGCCGTGGTCGACTTCACCGTCACCCAGCGAGGCCTGGAGGACCAGCTGCTGGGACGAGTCATTCTGCTGGAGAAACAGGTCCACACTGAACAGATAACCAGCTAGTTATACTGGTTATACTGTTAGTTAACAGCTGCTGTGAAGTAATCAACAGTTTAATTCCTCCTGTGCAGTGATTCCCAATGACCCTGAGTCCTAAACCTTTTTACCATGTGAATCTGACTCTGTTCACCCTGTGGGTCTGACTAGGAGCTGGAGGCGGAGCGAGTGAAGCTCCTGGAGGAGGTGACATCCAACAAGAGGAAGATGCAGGAGCTGGAGGACAGTCTGTTGTTCAGGCTGACGAGCACGCAGGGCTCCCTGGTGGAGGACCAGTCCCTGATCGAGGTGCTAAGGGTCACCAAGACCACGGCTCAGGAGGTACCGTCTGTCAGCTCAGGTTCAGGTTCAGGACTCAATCTAAAAGAAAATCAATAACAAACCTGTTGTAGGTGAGCGAGAAGCTGTCGGTGGCGGCAGAGACGGAGGTGAAGATTAACCAGGCCAGGGAGGAGTACCGTCCAGTGGCCACCAGAGGGAGCATCCTCTACTTCCTGATCGTGGAGATGTCACTTGTGAACATCATGTACCAGACGTCGCTGCGGCAGTTCCTTGGGCTCTTCGACTCGTCCATGCAGAACGCTGCCAGGTCGCAGGTCACCTCCAAACGCATTTGCAACATCATCGGCTTCCTCACGTACCAGGTGCTGCCCCCTAGTGGGGCTTTATGCTTTGTTTCATGTCCGTAATTTTGTTTCCTGTAGAGACTCTGCCCTCTAGTGTTCGATAGAAAGTGACATCACTGCAGGATTCCTGGTGAATGTTTATGTTATGTTTATTATATGTGTTGATAAATACAAAGAAATGAATCAGTACATTTACTTAACTTGTGATTCTACAGTTTCACAATTCGACTGTAAACAACCTCCATCATCTGAATCAACTAAACTCTGAGCTCATTAGTTTTATTCTAACTTTCCAGAGGAAAGAACTTTTAACGTACATGGAATGAAGAATACCATCAGGGACCATGGTGGTCCCAGGAACAAATACATTTCCAATTGACTCGCATATGTTTAAATTTCAGAGTACTGTGTGTTGTTTAAAATATAAATGACTATGTTCAGAAGAAATGTGTGGGAAACGAGTGTTGGAGCACACAGTCAGTTCAGGGGCTGGAACCCTCCTTCTCTTTTGTCTTCATAGTGTTTGTTAATAGCACTGTGTGTGTTTCAGGATGTGTACTTTATACTGTTAGCTTTCTGTTTTTGAGTCAAAATGACATGAAAGTGAGTATGACACGGTGTTTGTCCAAACCAAAGACACGACGTCATCCATCAATAAAGACTTTGTGTCTGCAGGTTTACTGTTACTCAGCCAGAGGTCTGTACGAGGAGCACAAGCTGCTCTTCACTCTGCTCTTGGCTCTGAAGATCGACCTGCAGGCTCGGAACATCTCCCACCCCGAGGTGCTCACCTTCGTCAAAGGTCACAAACTCCTCCTCCTCCTCCCTTTGTCTGTTTCTCTGTTCTTTAAAGCAGTTTGACACA